CGAGCTTCGATCCTGCAGCCTCGGCTTGCAGGAGGAGCCGGCGACCCCCTCCCAGAGCGACCCCCGGCGTCCAAGAGTCCCCTCGAGCTTCGATCCTGCAGCCTCGGCAGGGGGCGCCGGCGGCCCGCCTGGCGCCGATGACCCCCCCTTCCCGGCACTGCCCGAATCCGGAGCGGGCCGCACCCGCACGGAGGAGCACCGCAATCGGATCGGATCGGGCCGGCCCGACTCGATGTCGGATCGGATCGAGCGGATCGAAGTGCAACCCGAGGGGGGAGGTTTGGGGTTTCCCTTGGGGCTCTTCTGAAGGGTGCGGATCGAGCGGATCGAAGTGCCACCCGAGGGGGAAGGTTTGGGGTTTCCCTTGGGGCTCTTCCGAAGGGTGCTGAAGCCCTCTTGGGGCCCCCCAGGGTCTCTCTATTGGGACTCTCCTGCGGGCCTGGGGGCGCGTCCTGGGACCGCGGTGGAGACCGTCGGTCAAACCTGGGGGGAGTGCTCGAGTTCGGCCCCCCCCCAGATCGGAGACGCAGGATCGAGGATCGATCATTTTCTCTGCCTCTCGACCTGTCGGGGCCTCCAGGGAAGCCTCTCTCCGCCGCGGCGGGGATATCCTTTTTAAAAATTATATGTGTACGTATATACCCATATATATATATATATATATATATATATATATATATATATATATCGGAGTGAGGGGGTGAGATCGAAGTGGAACGGAGAGCCCCCCTACCGGGAAATCGATTTCGGTTTCGTGTTCGTGCGTGCCGTGCGTGCGGGCGAGGCGAAGCTGCGTGGGCGGGCGAGAGGAAAGTCTCCTGTGGCTGAGGCGCGGCCGGACCAAATGATTCTCCACCGGGCGGCCGGTGGCGCGCGGTGTCCCGCCGGTGTCCCGGTGGTGTCCTCTGTGGCTGAGGCGCGGCCAGACCAAATGATTCTCCACCGGGCGGCCGGTGGCGCGCGGTGTCCCGCCGGTGTCCCGCCGGTGTCCCGTCGGTGTCCCGTCGGTGTCCCGATCATGATGTTGATGATGATGATGATGATTATGATGATGATGGTGATGATGATGATGGTAATGATGATGATGTTGATGATGGCGATGATGATGATGTTGATGATGTTGATGTTGATGTTGATGTTGATGATGATGATGATGATGATGCTGATGATGATGATGATGATGATGATGATGATGATGATGATGATGATGATGATGATGACGTCGATTGCGAGATCGATTGTGATATCGGTAGTGAGACCGAATGTGAGATCGATTGCGAGATCGATTGTGATATCGATAGTGAGATCGATTGCGAGATCGATTGTGATATCGATAGTGAGATCGATAGTGAGACCGAATGTGAGACCGAATGTGAGACCGAATGTGAGACCGAATGTGAGATCGATAGCGAGATCGATTGAGTGAGACGTTGGTTCCCCCTTCCCCCTCACCTCCTTATCACCCGCAGGGTGGTCGTATAGGTGTATATATATAGACCCTGGAACATGATAAAGGCTTGGGATGGGGGACGAGGAGCAGGAGGAGGACGAGCAGGAGAAAGCTGATGAGGATGATGATGCCAAGCGGAGCGAGGACGAATGACAACAACGATAATCCATTCAAGCAAAGAGGAGGACTTTTCAGCGCAATGTTGAATAGGAGGAGCGGGAGCGGACTCAAGAGCACGATGACAGGTTCGGCTATACACTCCGTCGTGAAGTCTGCAAGCTACTTCAAACGCCGTGCCCATGAGACGCCCAGCCATGAAGACGAGCTGTCTTGCAATCACTGAGCGGCGGCTAGCACAAAGCTGACAGATGCTTGACTACACTGGGCCCCTTGAGCGTGATTCTAGGGCCGAGCGATCTCAAGACGGGCGAAGAGTGCCGCGAGTCTGATGTACACTAAGGTACCGGTATTCACTTGATGCTTTACCCCGCCGTCGAGGCATAATGAAGCCCGACCGAACGCATTGAATCGTAAAAACTCTTCGGCCGACCTCTGGCGGAAGCCGCGGATTGCCCTGCAGCTTCCACGCCGAGGACGGGGCGGCAGGACGAGCAGGAGGGAGGCGCGAGGGAGGGCAAGGCGCAGAAGGAAAGAGAAAGAGACAGGAGGAGTGAACGGAACATCCATGCTCAGAAGACCCGCGCGGTGGAGGTGGAGCAGGAGGAGGACGATCGGGGAGGAAGGAGGAGGCCCGATGTCATTCATGTTTGCCCATAAAATGACCCCCAAAGATCTGGGTCCCTTCCCCAGGGACCCACTTTTCATGCTGAGTCGTTGCTTGACGTACCAGAGGCCCAGTGCGGGCACATGGAGGCAGACAACAGCGAAAACAACTCCCATATTATTTTTATTGCTCGACGCGAGCGTAGTTGAGAAAAGGGCGGAGAAGGAGGAGGAGGAAATGGAGGAAGAGGAGACGGATGAGAAGAGGGATGGATAGGGGGGAGGGTGATGATGATGAGGAGGAGGAGGAAAAGACAGAAGAGGAGGAGGACGACGACAAATAGTGCAAACCCAAGACCCAGCAACGATGTCGGAATACACCCTCCCTTCAAGCTCCCGCCTCATAGGCCCCTGATAAGGTTCATTTCCACTGAGGGAAGTGTTCCGTTGGGAAACAAGCGTTTGAAGTTCCTGAAGCGTGTCAAAACACAGCTTTCGGGACTCCAACGCCAAGAATCAACTTGACTGTTGCGTGTTGGCGATCATCCTGAATTGTGGCAGAAATCCATTCCTGGGACTTCAGCACCGCGAACCAATGTAACTGGTGCGCCCTAACGTTCCGGAACAATTCCAAAACATCTGGCAAGCTGCCCGGTAAGCTGCCCATGGGCATCCATGATACGCTTGCAAAGTTTAAGACGAGTGCCCGCGGCGCAAAAAAAAAAACATATGTTGTAATCGAACCGTCCTCAATCCGTGAAACCCCTGTAATGCTCAAAATGAAAGCGCACGGCGCTAAGGCGAGAGCCACATGTTGAAAACGGCCCGCCCACAACCCGTCAACATATTGTATTGTTTAAGACGAACGGGCGCGGCGCTAAAGCAAGAACCCAAACAAAACGCCCTCAACCCGCTAACCCCACGCATTTGTCATAACGAAAGTGCGCGGCGTTCGGGCGAGAGCCACCATCTTTTCTCTCCGTTACGTTAGTGCAAATGTTTGGCTTTGAAATCGGCCCGTCATAATCCATGAAACTCTTGAACATGTTTGAAACGAATGCGCGCGGCGCTAGTGCGAGAACCACATTTTGACAACCGCCCGCCGTCAATACATGAAGCCCTTTGTACATGTTGAGCACGAATGAGCGCGGCGCTGAGACGGCAACCACATATTGAAAATGGCCCACCCTCAAACCGTGAAAGTCCAGCGAATGTTGAAAACAAATGTGCGCGGCGGTAATGCGAGAACCACCTTTCTGAAAACGGCCCGCCCACAATCCACGAAACTGTTATAGTTTTTGTTGAGAACGCGGCGCTAAGGCGAGAGCCACATTTGGAAACGGAGCCGCCCTCAAACCGTGAAAGTCTAACGAATGTTTGAAAACGAATGCGGCGCTGAGGCGGGAACCACTTTCTGGAAACGGCACGCCCTCAATCCGCGAAGCCCTTGTAAATGTGTATGACGAGCGTGCTAAAGCGAGGGCCAAACATTGAAAACGGCCCGCCCACAATCCGCGAAGCTTCTGCCATTTTGTTTAAGACGAGTGCGTGCGGCGCTAAGACGAGAGCCGCACTACGAAAACAACCTGCCCTTCATGTGCGAAACCGTCGCCGATCTTCTTAAAACCTTGTGATCATAAAACATATGGAAGTCGCAAGCGAAATGCCCAGGCCGCTGCTCCGACTGGCCTCGGGATGTGCCAGGGAGGACTTTTCCATAAAGAAAAAATGGGAGGATACCACTATAAACCCAAGACGCATCAACGATGTTCCAAGACCCCCCCCCCCCCCCCCCCAAGTCCCCCCCCCAAGTTCCCCCTTCCATAAATTCTTACAAAAAAGCGATCTTCATTGCGGGAAATGCCCCGCTTAAAAACAACCCGTTTAAAAAACAACCGCTTGAGCACCCTCAATCGTGCCAAAACACAGTTCCTGGGACTTCAACGCCGCGAATCAACGTAAAGTGTGCGCCCTGATAATCCTCAGTCGAACCAGAACACAATTCTTGGAATTTCAACACCGTGAGTCAACGTGACTGCTGCGTCCTGGCATTCACAAATAGTGCGAGGAAATCCTTCTTGGGACTTCAACCCTACGCATACTTGAAACGGCCGCAAACTTTCAAATCGAACGCGCGCGACGCAACGGCGAGAGCTACATTCTAAAAGAAGCTGCCTCAATCCTTGTACCTGCTGCTCCCTTACAAGCTGGCATCGTGCCAAAACATTGCTTGGGGACGCGAGCCATGAGAATCCTTGAAACTGACATACGCTCTTGAAACGAATGTGCGCGGCGCTGAAGCGAGAGCCACATTTTGAACACCCGCCGCCCTTCATCCTTGAATCGGCTGAAAACTTGTAAGACGAATGTGCGTGGCGCTACGGCGAGAGCCACGTTCTGATAACCACCCGCCCTCCATCCTTGAAGCTGTTGCAAACGTCAAGAAGCTTCAGGATCAGAACTGTTGAAGATGCCTCTGGCGAAACGTCTGGCCCGCCCTACCGACACGTCTGGAGGTGCGACGGGGAGGAATCATAAATTCAGGAACATGTGTGGAGGAGAGGGGACAGGGATGATGTGGAGGAAATTGAGGACGAGGAGGAGGCACAGCGTCATCAAAGAAGAGGTCTCCTGCATCCCACCCGACTAGCTGCTGCTGCTGCGGGGCGGCCTGAATGCAGTCAACGGCCCTGCGTGCCGATTTGCTAGATCCAAGGCCTCCTCCGCTAAAATACTCGGCTCTCTTCTGCTACTCCTCCGTTGAGAATGAGAGGGAGGAGGAGGAAACGGAGGAACGAGACCTGGCTCCCGATCGTCCCGCCCCCGCCTCGGTGGTGGGCCCGATGTAGACAGTGCTGCCGCCCTTCCCCAGCAGCAGCACGTCGTCGATGAGCGTGAAGAGGCTGTACCTCCGAGGGGAGAAGGAGGTAGGAGGTAGGAGGTAGGAAGTAGGAGGTAGGAAGTAGGAGGAAGACGAGAAGGAGGAGGAGGAGGAGGAGGAGGAGGAGAAAATGCAGGAGGAGATAGAAGGGGGGAGGGATTATAAGGATGAGAAAGAGGAGGAGGAGGAGGAGGAGGAGGAGAGAGGGAAGGGGGAGGAGGAGGAGGAGGAGGGAGGGGAGGTGGAGGAGGGAGGAGGGAGGAGGGAGGAGGAGGAGGAGGAGGAGGAGGAGGAGGAGAGGAGGAGGAGGAGAGAGGAGAGGAAGGAGGAGAGGAGGAAGGGGAGGGGGGAGGGAGGGGGATGGGAGTGGGGGGAGGACGAGGAGGGGGAGGAGGAGCAGGAGGAGGAGGAGGAGCAGGAGGACTAGGAGGAGGAGAGACTCATATTGATTATGGAAAAACAAACTAAGGGCATGAAGAAGAGCGGGCCCTACCAGGAGGGTGAGCAGGAGGAGCGCGCGGACTTTCCAGCAGCAGGCGGACCGGGGGCGGGCGGAGAGGGCGGAGAGAGGGAGAGGCGGGCGCCTAGGCTGGTGGACGACCATAACGATGGTCATGCCGAGCTTGGCCATCTTCCTGGAGCCCACTGAGCACCCGAGCCTCCCTCCTCCTCCTCCTCCTCCTCCTCCTCCTCCTCCTCCTCCTCCTCCTCCTCCTCCTCCTCCTCCTCCTCCTCCTCCTCCTCCTCCTCCTCCTCCTCCTACCCCCTCCCCTCCTCCTCCTCCTCCTCCTCCTCCTCCTCCCCTCCTCCTCCTCCTCCTCCTCCTCCTCCTCCTCCTCTTCCTTCCTCTTTGTCCTCCTCCCCCTCCTCTTCCCGCTCCTCCTCCCTCCTCCTCCTCCTCCTCCTCCTCCTCCTCCCCCCTCCTCCCCCTCCTCCTCCTCCTCCTCCTCCTCCTCCTTCTCCTCCCCTCCTCCTCGTCCTCCTCTTCTTGTTATTATTATCCGTGTGATCAGCATGTTCAGTATTAGTATGAGTGTCATTGTTATTATTGTTGTATCATTAGTAGTATGCTGAATATTCCTCTTCTTATAATCAGCATTATTAGTATGCTTATGCCTGTTATTTGTATTATCAATATTCGTCTGTGTAGTATTGCGATTATCATTCTGAGTATGATTACTACTCGTCTGAATAAGTGAATGTGTATTACTATTCCTCCTCCTCCTCCTCTTCCTCCTCCTCCACATCCTTCTCCCCCTCCTCCTCCTCCTCCTCCTCCTCCTCCTCCTCCTCCTCCTCCTCATCCTCCTCCTCATCCTCATCTTCCTCCTCCGCCTCCTGCTCCTCCTCCTCTTCCTCCTCCTCATCCTTCTCCTCCTCCTCGCATCGTGAAGAAAACGAGGCGGTGGGTTTTCGGCTCGTTTCGGCCACCTGGAGCCCTCGCGGGGCCACGGGGACTGTCGAAATCCAATCAGGATGAGAAGCCAGTCCTCGGGAAGGGGTCGGGCCACTGCGGGTCCAAGCTGTGGAAAAAAGACGTCGGAAGTCTGGATCCCAGAGCTCCCCGAGACTCCCAGGGACATCCACAAACGAATGTCCAAAATCTCCTCGGTTTTCGATCCGCACTGCTCCTCGATCGTCGATTTCGAGGAGCAGAGTGAGACACCCCTAGTGGTGACCCCCATTGCCCGATCCCTGCTTCCCTATCCTCCGTCCTCCATATCCCCTCGCGGGAGGAACGAGCAGGACAAAAGAAGGAAAAGGAGGAGGGGGAGGATGAGCATAAGAGGCAGGATGAGACGCAACGGGAGAAGGACGACGACAATGAGAAAACAGGACGGGTGAGGAGAAGGAGGAGGAAAAGGAGGAGTTCCTCCTCCTCCTCCTCCTCGAACCCTACCCTACCTCGTCGTCCGCCCTCCTGCCTCCTTCCTCTTTCCCAGGCCCTCGAACGAGCTCAGATTTGTAGAGGGCATGGGCCCCGAAACCGTCAAATTCTGCTTAACTTGCATCAAGCAAAACGTTGCTCCCCTACGGGCCTGAGCGCCGTTGGCTTTCCAGGGCGCCTTATGCAATGCAGAAAGAAGAACAGTGTGCCCCTGCCCCCTGGTTCGGCGTCGCGTCATGGGGGGGGCGACAAATGGGGGGCAGCGAGGGGTGCAGAAAAGTGGCCTTTTAGGGCCCCGATGGGAGCCTTGAGGGCCCGAGAAGTGCACCGTTCCTCCCCCCTCCAATAATGATCGCCCCCACATCAATCGACGCCCAACCAGGGCCCCCCCGCCGCCTCGTTCCACTGGAACTGCCGTCGCCCGAGAAACACCAGCTACGGCAGACCTGGTTTTGAGATTGCAGCCCATATTTTGGACTTCGGGGCCCAATCACTAACCTGCTCCCCTTAACCAGAGTCCTGGCTATACACGACCCAAGGCCTCATGATGGCATCTCA